AAAGAATCAAGGCATGACTCTCTGAGGATGCTACCTGAGACAGAATAGCTCCTAACAGCTCTTTGTCACCTCCTAAGGCTGGCTGGGGGCCGGCAGACCATTAGGGATAGCAAGCTTGCATACTTTTCTCAACAAATAAGCAAACAAATGAGCAGGATTCAGCTCCCCTTACCCAGAGGCCCACCATGCTCTGAGCAGTCTGCAGGCACCGCCAGCGGCCATTGGCTGGTGGGTGAACCTATTCAGCACAAGAGAAAACAGACGAAAACAGATGTCTGCTCCTCCTGCCAAGTCCCTTTCTTGCATTTTAGGAACCATTCCACAAGCACAGGGAGGGTTTTGTTAATTTCTTTCAGATGATGACTGAGTGCTTTACACCATGTGGGACCTCCAAAGCCTGGCTCTTCTTCTCAAGTGAGCAGTAGTGCCATTAGCCCTCTCACAGCCAGTGTGGGACTTCTTTTTCCACGTGTTTGAAAAGCTCCTGAACCCCATCCGTGCCTAGGGACATAAAGAGGCCCAATGCACCCACTGTTCTTGGCTACCTGTAATTGACAGAATAATTTTTTCAGACATGGCGATTTATTATTTAGACATAATGAAACAGTGAGGTTGTGACTGATTTTAAAGAGACTAAATTAATCTTCATTCAAAGCACCACCAATTACTATAAATACTTTATGTCCCATTCCCTATGAATATATACAGTAATGAGACTTTGTGGACATTTAGAGGATTTGATTGGTGTGTGTGTGTGTGTGTTGAGGGGGGTGTATGTGTCTGATACAACTGGCCTGGGGTTTTATCCCATTCTTTTGTGTTTTAAGTTTTAAATTACTGCAACATTGTGGGTAGTGTTTGCAGGACAGGTCGACCACATGGAAAGAAAGAATACATGAGACTAGCTGTAATGGTCATCCCAAATGAGGAAACTTGACTGACAAGGTTGTTGCTATGGGAAACAAATACCAGAAATCTCCACAGGCCTGGGACGTAACTCAGCAGCACAGTGCCTGCCTAGCACTCAAAAGGCTCCTGAGTTCAAACGCCCAGGATATTTTTCTTAAAGTCATAGGAAATATTTACATATATTTAGTCCATTGTACGTCACTCTTATCATAGTGATTGATCTCACACACACACACACACACACACACACACACACACACACACACACACACACACCTGCATTCAAGCTTTTAACCATTTTAATATTTGAGTTGGGTTTTTTTTCCGCTATTGGTAAATCTTTAGGTTAAATTAAAACTCTACAAAGTATGTATTGCTTTCATTAATATTTATCCCAGAAGCAACTAAGACACATTAGAAAGGGCTCATCTCTTCCTTGTCAACTCCCCTTTTAAAAAAACTTGAATGTGTAAAAAGTTCTGTGAGCATGCTTAAATATGAAGTCCTTGAAATCTTTATAGTCATAATTTCAGAAGTCTGAGGAATCCGGGTGTGCATTTCTTACATTAAACATTTAGGTCATTAAAGCATATCTTTGTCTGGAAAGTATTGTCATGACCTTTAATTAGCCAGTTCCTGCTTTATTCTGAACCTATGCATGACTTAGGAATCTTAATCATGCCCTCCCCTACTTTGGTGCCTCTGAAACCTTCTTGTTTTGCAGAGTTTGGCTGTCAGAAGACAGTCCCTCCTCCATCTTCTCCCAACACACCTCTGGGGAGGGAGACATCCCAAAACATGGTGATTTATCTCCCTAAAGTATCAGTCACTTAATGGTATCAGGTTCCAGAGCTTGTCTCTCTCCAAATTCAAATTGTTGGGGACAAGAAGCAAAGTTTAACTCTCCTGTTGGATGGGAATAGATGCTAAGAGAGGGTCTCACGTTGTAGCCTAGGCTGGTCTATATAGCCCAGGCTACAACTTAACAGCAGTTCTCCTGTCTCCGCCTCTACAAGTGTTGAGCTCATAGGCATGAACTCTAAGATAAAGCACAGGGTTTCAAGGAAGTTTTGGAGCTAGAACAAGGTTGTGTGGTCATTTTCTTCAGTGTTAGAACTCCAGGAGTGGGGGTGGGGGTGGGAATCTAACGTAGTAACTGACAAAGTAAGGCCACTTGCTATTTCAGACTGTGAAAGTGAAGCCTCTTGACTTAGCTTGTTCTCGATGTCCCTTGTTCTCTCAGCAAACTTAGCCTCTCATCTTTGAGGCTCCATCCATCCTCCCAGTGTGGTTTGTACATATCAAGCCTTTGCTTCACCATCCGTGTTTTCTTGCCCCTCTCTTGACCTGTGAGCTACTAGAAGATGGGGCTGGGGTTGCAGTTGCTTTGTAGGGAGCGTCTGGAATGCATGGGATACACTGGAAGAGCCCTTTGCTTTGAAGCGCTTTTCTAGGAACAGTGGCCCTGCTTGTGTGGGTTTCCACAGGAATGAATCCCAGAGACTGGGGAGGTGGGGCCCGAAGTGAGATGGCTCTTGGAAGGACTGTGTGATTTACTAGGTGAAGTTGGCAAAGGCAGCAAGTGAGGTGACAATGAAGAGATAAGACTTCCCCCCTGCCCCCACTTCAGGCCAATTTGAGAGCTTTTAACACCTGAATACAACTCTATTGTCTTTCCTTGTTTTTTGAAACACTGTATGCATTATTGCCCTACATCTGTTAAATAACTTGGCACATTTTCAGCATTAAAGATAGACTTTATCTAACTGACACTGAGATGTTTTGTTTGGTGTGAGTTAACCAGTGCTACCACACTGAATCCTTCTCATCTCAGCTAGAAAACAGAGACAGGTGCTGTTTTGATTCACCCATGAAGGGTTCATGAAGGAGATTGTTCAGCTGGTTGATGTTGAACATTTTGAAATGTTTCATTTTTTTTATTGGACCTGGACCATCTGGGCTCAGAACCAGTGCTCTCTGCCTTTGGCCTGGCTGTATACTGCCTTCTTTCTTACCTAGGCCAGGGAGTTCTAAGGACAGTATGGGTTGCCCATTCTTCTGTGTCTTTTAACTTTAATTATTGGGAATACCAGACATTTATCATTCTGTAGGAAACTAAATGACTTTGTTGGTTTAGCCATCCATTTCTTCATTCATGTGTGGAGTGCCAGGAGTCAAGCCTAAGACCTCATGTCACACAAGAGCTCTAACAGTGAGCTGAACCCCAGCTCTAGATGATTTTAAGTCTTAAAAAGACAAATAGGCAGTGTTTGTTATTGCTTGAAAATTATATGAAAGGAGTGTTGTGGAATAATGCTTTTGTATCCTGGTTTAGTAAAATGCTTGGCCATTAGCTCAGGCTTCCTACTGACTAGCTCTTACACTTAAACTCAGCCCATTTCTGTTCATCTATATGTCGCCACATTTTCCGTGGCTTTACCTCTGTGCCATTACATGCTGCTCCCTGGACAGCGGGTTGGTGTCTCCTGACTCAGCCTTCCTCTTCCCAGAATTCTCCTTGTCTGCTTATCCCCCTTATACTTCCTGCCTGGCTACTGGCCAGTCAGCGTTTTATTAAACCAGTGTACAAAAGCATTATTCCACAACAAAGGAAAGATTTCATTTCAGGTTTATTTAATGTTAAGAAAGACTTTGTACAAAGGCACACATGCATGCTGCTTCACATATATTTTTAGAATGCTGTGTACTTCAGAAATCGAGGAAGTCCTAATGAGGATATTATTCCATTGCCAAAGGCTAAGACATCAATTAATGACTTTACCAATAGTGCTTATTAAAGAGCAGTCAGCTCACGTGCTTCAGTGTGCAAAGATAAAATTGGAGAACGAGTGATACAGTTCTGTGGTAGGACACTTAACTTGCCTAGAAAGCTCAAGGCTCCGGGTTCATCTCCAAAACCAGAAGCAAGGGGAGCATAAGCTTAAAGGAAATTTTGAAGTGAAGCTTGGACCAACCTCAGCTGCATAGGTGAATTTTGACTTAGTCAGGAACTATTCTTGTCGTCAGGTAGGCTTTCCCCAGTGGTGTGAATAGCAAGCTCTCCCTGCGCGTGCATCACGGTCACACATATTCTCAGCGCACACAGTTCGGTCACATGTCTTTGGTTCCAGCTGATTCCTCTCTAACAAAGGAAGGCTGAGTGGGAAATGATCTGATGAGCGTGTCTCTTCCCAAACTTGATGCGTTTGTTAATCAGCTGCTCATCCTGCTAAAACGCAGCTTCTGGTTCTGCACGCATGGGCCTGGGGTTCTACACTGCTCATCCAGTACCTGGCAGGTGCAGTCTGCAGGCCCATGGATAGCAGATGGCCCTTTGTGGAACCAAGATTGGCCCAGCCTGCCCTCCCCATCTAGTCTCCATTCTAAGATTTGTTCTGATAGTGCTGTATTGCTTGCTCGGGCTTACGGTTTCTAGTTTAAATTAGGAGCTATCCTTTTCCCTCTGGTGACCACTGTTTAAAATAGAATGGAACCAAGGATGGTGGTGCAGACATCTCTAGTCCCGGCACTCAGAAAGCTGAGACTAGGGGATTGTGACGTAGTGAGACCAGGTATCAAAAAAAGAAGAAATGAAAGAGTAAAGTAGTATGGATCCTGCCATGGGGCAGTGGAGGGGAAGTTGAACCCAGCCTATACTAGACTCCACAGGGTTGGTCCAGAATCTTTCTTCACGGATCTCCAAGTTGAATTATTAGCAGTAGTAGGCTCCTGCATAGCCGTGAGCTTGGCATGGACTTCAGAAATCAGCAGTGGTTAGTTAATTTTGGCGTCACGGCATGCTGCTGACACTTGCATTGTGAGAACATCCTCCCCAAGCCAGTGCAGACCAGTGGTACCACTTCCACATCTGCTGAGGATGACATTGGGGACCATGCCTGGCCTGCACAGGTTGTACAAAACCTCAGACACGATTTTCAAGTGTCCGAGATGCCTTAAGTGTTCTGTACACGCCAGGGTCTCACTGTATAGTGCTTACAGGACTTGCAGAGCCAGTGGTTGCATAAAAATGGGCTAGCATAAACGTCTCCCTTCTGCTGAAAAGTGACCGCCGACTTTCTGTTCTGCCTTAGCAACAGGAACAAGATCCTACCAACCTGTACATTTCTAACCTGCCACTGTCCATGGACGAGCAAGAACTTGAAAATATGCTCAAACCCTTTGGACAAGTGATTTCTACAAGGGTCCTGCGTGATTCCAGTGGTACCAGCCGTGGTGTGGGCTTTGCCAGGTAAGTGCCCTGCCATCTCCTTATGAAGAGCTGTAGCTCTGCTGAGTCGTTCTAGAAAGTGAAAAATGACCGGAAAGAGAACACCTCAGCCAGGGCCACGGGAGCCAGTTGTACTGTGGACTTCAATTGCATGTGACTTTACACATATGATTTTCCAAGCCTTGGGAAGTTCTGGGCTCGCCAAACTGAGCGCAGTAAGTCCTATATGGCTCATGGCTGGAACTGTCACAAGAACAGTGGTCCTGGACACATGCTCTTGACACCTTGACTCCTTTCTTCAAGAGGCTTGTAACCATTCACAAACAGACAGACTCCCAAGGTTCATAGATAAATCGGTATCTTTTTCTCAGATAGAAATCTGATTCATAGTAACAGGTTTAGTTGGGTTTCTTAAGCTAAATGTTTCAGACATTCAGAAAGGAAAAGGGGATATAATACCTAGCCATCTCATCATCTTAGAAGCTACTGACAGTTTATAATTCTTCAGGTTCGGTTTTTTTTTGGTTTTTTTTTTTTTTTTTTTTTTTTTTTTTTTGGTTTTTCGAGACAGGGTTTCTCTGTGTAGCTTTGCGCCTTTCCTGGAACTCACTTGGTAGCCCAGGCTGGCCTCGAACTCACAGAGATCCGCCTGGCTCTGCCTCCCGAGTGCTGGGATTAAAGGCGTGCGCCACCACCGCCCGGCCCAGGTTCGTTTTTTTAATGACTGTTCTAGATATAACTGAAGCACTCCTGCCCTACCCCACCTTTTCCTAGAAAGGATCCCTTAGTGGATAAATTGGTTTCTAGAGAATTAAAGTAAACAGAAAGAGATTTGATTTGTGGCAGATTTATAATCTTAAAGCCCCTACACAAAAGCTGATTTTACAGTGAATTATTTAAGAATTTATTAGCAGTAGGCACTGACAGATAATAGCAGCATGCATTGAGGTATTAACTGATTTTTGGAGGGAAAATGCTGACATTCACTTAACTATGGAAATGACAGTCACATCTTACCACAAACTTGTGATGTCAACAAAGCATTGATTTGTTAAAGCATTTATTACTAAGGGACCTTATCATTGTCACCTCCCCATTAAGTCACAAAAGCAAGGGCTGCAACTTGGTTCTGTTGGCTTTTAGTCACTTGTTCCATTGGACCAGACAGTCTGGAATAAAGCCCACATCTCCTTGCAGCAGTATCAGTAGTACATACTTACTGCTTCATCAGTGACAAGGCTTTAGGCGAGGCATTCAGTGGTCCGGCCACATGCCATTCTTCCATGGTGCTCTTCTGAATGCAGGTAAGTATATCACCCCTGCAGAGTGATACCACCCCTACAGAGGCCAGTGGAATTCTGTTTTTTAAGACCTAGCACTGCTGGTTAAAACGAAGGTGTGGCTGAGTGAACCAGAGTAGAATACGTTTTGGGAAGGTGATTGGATGTTTCCGCTGAGGAAAAGCAAGTCACAGTAATTAAGTCCCCAGAAGTGCTTCTCAAATGTTTTTAGTCACCTGTAGATGGAAAATAAATGGTAAAATTAGACCCCAGCCTTTAATTCCTCCTCCAAAGTCAAGCTGACAAAGTACATAATTAAGTTCACTAATTGAAATTTAAACCCAGAGTGAAAGTTAAAAACACATAAGGCCCATCCTCTGATTGACATGAGCCATTACCCTGAGAGTTTATAAAAGGAAAGATTATCTTTAAAACAAAAATTCTAAACTATTGTTTTTATCACAAAATCATGACTAAGAAAATCATTATTTTTTTGAATTATGAATTGTTATAAATTAAATTTTAAGTTTCCAACCATTAGAAAACCATAATTTGATATGACTGCTATGAAACCCTCTTCATAGAATCTACTGTCTTTTATAATATTCTGTCTGTGATAATTATAACTCGGGGATAAGTTATTTTACTGTAGACATGCCAAAGCAACAGCTAAGGAAAGAGCCAGCCTTCTTGTTTGATGTCATCCCCATAGCTTTCCGTGAGGTTCCCTTTGTTTCCTAAACCTAAAGCGATAGTTATACAAAGCCTCTTAGTGCTGTGCATGTACTATTTATGTATCTCTTCTTTTTACATGACCAGGATGGAATCGACAGAAAAATGCGAAGCTGTAATTGGTCATTTTAATGGAAAGTTCATTAAGACCCCACCAGGAGTCTCTGGTATGTTGTTTTGCCTAAAGTTTGATCAGTCGTCTTTGATATAGCATGTATGTCACTTCAGCACACAGTGGCTCTTAAGACCCAAAACCTCTCACTTTTTAACACTGACTTGTTTGTATTGGCAAATAAGATTGGCACGTGCAGCAGCCAGGAGGAACTGGCCTGTCAGCTGCAGTGGTAAGGACTGGCTCGCAAAGCATTGCAGAATTGACTCTGGACCGGCAGCCATCTTTTAACCCACCTCACCACCATCCTGCGTAGCCTTGCCAGGACTGGGTACATCCCCTGAGAGCTCAGTATGTCCCGTCCTCAGTGCCTGGACCTCAGCTCCCGTGGCCTTTACGTACACTCGGCTTCCATCGCTCCCGCGTCACTCTGCCTGTGTTGTCTTTAATCCCGACCACCACACCTCACCTCACAGAGCATTTATGCATTAGCCCAGACTCCTGGGAGGCCTGCTCTGAAATACGAGGAGTGCCTCCTGTTGTTGCTGAGAATTGACTTGTTAATCTGTTTCCTGTCTCTACCGAATCTGGGGTGCTGCAGTCCTTTCCTTAGTGGCAGCCTCAGCTTCCTTGCACATTCACTGAGACTGCAATGATGCCACTGTAGACGATTTCCTTTCCCTGTGGCACCGTGAAAATTAGCCAGACTCTCAGCACCACTGTTCCTCCTGCAGTTCTTCAGGCTTCCCAGCATCCTCCCTTCTCCCCTTCATCCACCCATGCAGCCCTCTAACAGCTCCAAGCAGATGACCTCACTTCCTGTTTAATGAACAGAATCTGGAGTACCAGAAATGCCACTTGATCACTGCGTCCTCCACTGAAGGGCCCCTGCCTGTGCCCCGCTCCTTCCTTTCTCCTTCCAGAAGGATGTTAGAGCTGTGTGCGATCTTGTCCCATTGGGACCTTGCTATGCCTTCCTCTCCTATAATTGTGTCTGCTCTTTGCTTATATCCCATTTTTCCAACAAAACGAAAACTTTTATTTTGGATCTATAAAATAACATGTCCCTGACGAGACGAATTGGTGAGGGAATGGAAGAAAATCGACAAACAGTTAATATTCTAGTTGCATTTCTATTGCTGAGACAAAAAAAAAAATACCCTTATAGAGAGCAACCAGAAATGGGTTTGTTTTAGCTCAATATTCCAGGTTATGTTCTATCACTGTGGGAAAGTCAGGGTGGCGGCGGGGACTTGCGTTGCATCCACAGTCAAGAGCAGGGAGAGAATGGGTGAACTCAGGCCTGCCTGTTTGTGTTTGCCTTAATTTCTCTATTCTCCTATAGTTTAGAACCCCTTGTCTAATGAATGGTGTCACCCGCAGTGGGCTGGGTCTTCCACATCAATTAACTTAAGACCGCCCCCCAGACATGCCCACAGTCATTGGTACTTTCTCCCAGGTGATTGTGGGTTGTGTCAAGTTGACAGAACTATCAGGATTCTGAACAAAAAATTGTGAATGTAGACATCATGGGTGTTTTTAATCACAGAATTTAGTGACTAGGCACGTAAACTACTTTATGCCAAGGTCTTTCCAGAAGAAGATATTCCGTTTGTGTTTGAAATCATCTTAGTGTTTTGTGGTCTCGGAGTTAAGTCTGTGTTTTCCTGAAAGCACTTTTAAAGGGCAATCTTCCCATCACTCCTCAGTTCTGTCCAGGTTGGTATCTTCTCCTAGCATGTAGTTTAAATTCCTTTAGGCAAGCATTCTGTTTGCTAGGACAACTGTAACAAAATTGCATAAACAGCAGATTAGTGACCCACTCACCTTTCTGAGGGCCAAAAGTCTAAGCTGGAAGAATGCAAGATCAGTTCCTTCTGAGGGCTGTGAAGGGTCTCTTCCAGGCATCTCCTTGGCTTGCAGTTGGCCATCCTCTTCTTGGGTCTCTTCACATCACCTTCCCTCTGTGTGTCCTTTCATTTATGAGAACACCAATCACAAGGGATGAATGGCCCACCCTAGTGACGTCATGAGAACACCAATCACAAGGGATGAATGGCCCATCCTAGTGATGTCTCTTTTTAAATTCCTGTCTGTAATCAGGGTCACATTCTGGGGTGCTGGGAGTTAGATCTCTAGCATGTCTTACTAAAGAGGAGGGGAGAGTAGGAGGGAAACATGGTTGAACACTTTGCTCGTGACTGACATCGTCTGTGCCATATCATCCTTGAACCAGTCACTTTCCCTGCCCCCAGGGATTTGGCTGCTTCTGTAGTACATTTCTGACAGATTTTATCCAGTCTTGAGATTTCAGTGTCTGCTTCGGGTGAGTCTCGGCCATTCATCTCGTTCTGACTTTCTATTGAGTATCAGTCTCCATGTGTCCACTGTCTCCAGAGCCAACCCTGTTGTCCCCACTGCTAGTGCTCTTGCCTTCTTTACCTCCATTAGTGGACTCAGAAACCCAGGACCGGATTCCCATGGACACCTCCACCCTTCCTCTCTCCCATTCAAATAATCACTCAGGTCCTTCATTTTTCTTCCTGATCATTTCTGCCCCTTCCCTCGCTGCCTGCTGTCACCGCCTGGTGTGCCCCTGATCTCTCAGGAGAGTAGCCTACCAATGCCTTGCCCTGTCTGGCCTGACCTCCCTCACATTGCTTCCTAAATAGCCAGAGAACTTTAGACAAAATGCATCTCTGTTTCGCCATGCTCCCATCACCGCTCAAGAAAAGACCGAGGGTTCCCAGAATGACACTGCAGGCCGTGGTGACCAGAGCCCTTGCTCCTCCATGCCATCCCTCTGTCCCTACCATCTTGCCTGTGCCCTCAGTAATGAATCACAAGTAGGTTGCATGGCACTCTGTCATTTCTCCCTGTGTTCTCTCCCGTGGCTCTACACCTTGATCTCTTTGCTTCCCATTAAAAAGGACGCCCTCTCCTTACCTTTCTACACGTTCTCTGAGTCTGTCCTCCCCTGGGACCTGCTCTGACTCAGCTGGGTGCATCTGCCTGGGGAACCGCCGAAGGATTCACATTGCCATCAGAACACTGATGTGTTGACCTGTGTCGGTCCCACTCTGCTGGAAGCTCCTGGAAGAAGTTTTCTCCTCTCTTTACGTTCATGCCTTGCAGTGATTCAGCTATCCCAAGCGACCACCAGTGTTGTTAGTCTTTAATACATTTCATTACACCATAACACCGGGACAGCACTAGATCCTAACAGGGTAGCACACGGGCAAGACCAAAGTGCCTTCTGGTTTTGCAGTCGGTCCCCAGCGCACTCCCTGCCAACACGCAGTGTCTCAGGATTCAGCAACCACTTCACCGTGCCTTTGAAAGGGAGGCACTGAAGTTGTTAGAACGGGAGAAGAGAGAAGTGCCTGCTTCTTTTTCATATCCTACCCGCACTGTCCTCTCGGGCTTCTTGCTTGGCAGGCATAAGACATCCGCTTTCTGCTTCTGGGTCTGGAGCACCAAGTCTGTGTCCCTTCCTGACGACATCATCGTCTGCCTCCTCATACCCACGCCCTGCAGATCTACTCTTGCCTGGGTAGAAGTCTGGAGAGGGGTCCTTTCAAGGTGTTCCTCCAGCCCCCTGCTCACTTGTTTCTGTAGTAGTCAGCTGCATCAGTAAGAATTAACCCAAAAGCTCCTGGGGAGACAGTCAGGTCCTTGACCTTACCCCGAACTAGGGTAACTCTGTAGTAAACAACCATGTGGAAACCCAGAAGAGGAGGAAAGTATGCCATTTGGCTGAATGCATCTTTGCCCCCAGAGTCTGTCCGGCACCTTTCATATGCAAAAACAAAACAAAACAAAAAACCACTTTAATCCAGAAGTAGATCCTGCAAATGGAACCTGAGTCACATAAAAGGTTGGTCAGACCCCATCTCTAAATGGCAAGAGCATACATGTACCTCAGTTTGTCACATAGAACACATCCTTCAGAAAGCCCTGAGGGATGTTGAAAGTAGAGTCATTCCGTCCAGGAGTCACTGGAGTGAGCAGCTGCTCTTAGGCTGTGCATGGGTAACTGGTGTTGGGTATATATTCTCTCAGAGCTCCCAGGTTCCGTCTTTAACTGGATGCTGAGGAAAAGGAGGAGAGTCACTTTAATTTTCCATTTCATTTCCTAGAGGAACTAATTGGTGTGTCTGTGTGGTACCGCAGGCCACACTTGATCTTGCAGTATTAAAACCTGACAGCCTATCACTTCTGAAGCCACTGTTGAAGGTGAACAGCCCATAGGCACACATTGGGAACATAAAATCTAGGTCCTGAAAGGACAGTGCGTCTCAGGAAATCAGGCTAGTGGAAGAACTTCCTCTGGTTCTCTGGGTTAGTTTTCTTTTTCCATCCAACACTTGGATGAGAGAAAAGAAAGGAGAAGGTTTTAACCTCAGACTAGTAGAATCCTGCCCTGTGAGTTTAGCACAGTGCCAATTTGAGTGTTCTCTGCATACTCAGGACCCCACACCCCCCATCCAACTTTCGTCCCTTCCAAGGACTGATCTACACCTACTTGTGACCTCTTTTCTTGGTTCATTCTTGCGCAGCAGCAAGGTTGGTTGAAAAAAAAGACATGCATCTAGGGCCATTTGTATCAGCCTGTGATAAAATCTTCCAATTCCCTCCACAAAAGAAACTTCACAGAGTGTCACAGATTGGGTGAACAGTTTCCTTTGTTCTCTAAAGGACTCGGTGGTTGTCGTTAGACTGTTTCCTCTGAAGTGGTTTCACAAACTGCAGGTCACAGCCGTTCAAGGGAAACCCAGTGATTTCCAAACTGCATAGGGGTGATTGTAGGAGCCTGGGCAACGCTGCAGCTGATTGAGAATAGTTCCCTCCAAGTTGTACCAAGGGACAAATGAGTACAAGAGCCAGATGAGTCCCATCTACGTTGCAGGCATGGCTGCAGGGAGCAGCATAGTGTTGCAACTGAGCCATCCCTCTGTTCCCAATCGTGCTCAGTGCTACTTCATTTCCAAATGCTTGGTGATCTTCCCGTGCACTAATATGGGTGTAGGACTAGGCTGCAAGTTGGTTGTGGGC